AGCCTTTCCAAGTCCTGGAAGAAACGGAAGTGGGGTTGAGTCGCTGCAGCTGTTTGGTAAGTGGGAAAGGAGTGGAGGAGAGCTCCGGTAAGCAGACAAAATGGTGAGCAGGCTGGATGAAATGAGTTTGGCCTTTTCATTCCCCGTTTTAACAGAGGTGGAAGGGACCTTGGAGGTCTTCTAGTCCAACCTCCTGCTACACCATTTCAGCAAAGCAGCTGTCCGATCTCTTCTTAAAACTCTCCAGCGTTGGAGCAACCCACCAACTTCTTTCCACCGATGAATTGTTCTCACTTTTGGGGAAATTCGTCCTTAGTTCTAGGTTGCTTCTCTCCTTGGTTAGTTTCCACCCGTTGCTTCTTGTCCTGCCTTCAGGTGCTTTGGAGAATAGCTTGACTCCCTCTTCTTTGGGGCGGCCCCTGAGATATCGGAACCCTGCTATCCTGCGCTCTTCTTTTCACGAAGAAATCCAATTCCTGCAACCGTTCTCCGTACATTTTTGGCTTTAAACCCTCCACACCTCCAAGTCCTCTTTATCTCTCTTCTCCGCCTCTTTCCAGAATCTCACCGTATTTTGCACCATATGCTTGGCCCAGGTTAAGGAAAACTCTGCCAGGAGGGGCATTTGCCCAAATGCCAAGCAGGCAAGGGTTTCCTTCTTTATTTTAGTCATTGGGGATGTATTTTTGCTTTGGCTCCAAAGACTGGGCAGGTTCTGTGCAGCGGTGGTAGCATTCTGACCTCCAGTTTTATTTATTTATTTGTTTGTTTATTGGTTCGATTTATATGCCGCCCTTCTCCGGAGACTCAGGGCGGCTTACAATGCGTTAAGCAATAGCCTCCATACTTTTTGTATATACCTGCTTAGTAGGACTTTCGGCCCCCCTAAGCAGTGTTTTTTATTCATTTATTCATTCATTCATTCATTCATTCATTCATTCATTCATTCATTTATTTATTTATTTATTTATTTATTTATTCATTCATTCATTCATTCATTCATTCATTCATTCATTCATTCGATTTATATGCCGCCCTTCTCCGGAGACTCAGGGCGGCTTATAGTGCATTAAGCAATAGCCTTCATACTTTTTGTATATACCTGCTTAGTAGGACTTTCGGCCCCCCTAAGCAGTGTTATTTATTTATTTATTTATTTATTTATTTATTTATTCATTCATTCATTCATTCATTCATTCATTCATTCATTCATTCATTCGATTTATATGCCGCCCTTCTCCGGAGACTCAGGGCGCCTTACAATGCATTAAGCAATAGCCTTCATACTTTTTGTATCTACCTGCTTAGTAGAGCTTTTGCCCCCCCAAGCAGTGTTTTTTTTTTTAATACAAAGTCAGCTTATTGCCCCCCACAATCCGGGTCCTCATTTTACCTACCTCGAAAGGATGGAAGGCTGAGTCAACCTTGAGCCTGGTGAGATTTGAACTTGCAGTAATTGGTGCTACTTAACAGCACTTTAGTCTGCTGCGCCACCATTGCCTGCCATTGCCAGCTAGCCTAGTTGGACCGAGAAATGGGGGGGACCGAGCGACCCAAACTCGCCAAGGAAACGTGCATGAAGTTAGATGGGCTTGGGGATGGGGGGTCCCTAACTCCGTGTGGGGGGGAGAGGATGGAGAAGTTGCAGTGCATATAAAAATGTAGGATTTTTTTTAATTGAATGGGAATGGGGGCCATTTTGACTTTATTAGACCCTCCCTGATTTTAAGCTTTAAGTGTTCATTTTGGGAGGGGGCTGACTGAGTGAATGGTGGCATAAATTCCATTTAACTTAGTTTATGATTCAACTCGATCAGTTAGGTACAATTAACAAGTTACCTGGCTATGAATTAGAAATAGAAATAGAACCGCAGAGTTGGAAGGGACCTTGGAGGTCTTCTAGTCCAACCCCCTGCTTAGGCAGGAAACCCTTACACCCCTTGAGATACAATTTCATTTCATTTATTAAACTTCTATACCGCCCTTCTCCCGAAGGACTCAGGGTAGTGTACAGCCATTTTAAAACAAACATATCCTCACAAAATTTAAAAACAATTTAAAATAAATATATAAATTTGGCCCTTATGTTAAAAGCTACAAACACCCAACAATTGACTTTGTATAAAATATACAAAAGAATGAAGGCTATTGCTTAACGCATTGTAAGCCGCCCTGAGTCTCCGGAGAAGGGCGGCATATAAATCAAATTAAAAAAAAATTAAGGCAGTGATGGGATTCAGCCAGTTCGGGAGAACCGGTTGTTAACCTTCTGAGCAGTTTGGTGAACTGGTTGTTGGAAGAAATCATTAGGGCAGAGAACCGGTTGTTAAATTATTTGAATCCCGCCACTGAATTAAGGTATCATCATTTTGGCTTTTGTTGATAAGTCTAGGATTCTTTGTGGATCAGCTATTTTCCTTCTACTTGCTACACAAGACCTGGTTCTAACCACGGTTTTGTTCTAACCATGTTTAAAGCCATGTTTGTTCCATGGCTTTAAAACCTGGCTTGTTGCAAAGCCAAACATAAAAGGCTGCTTTGGCTTTGCTTTAACATGGTTTGTTGAAGCCAGGTGTTACTTCTAAACTATTTTTTCTGTGGGTGTTGTGGGAATCTTGCTAGCCGTAGAATATATTGGAATATATCCCAAGACAATTTGGCTTAGCAATATTGTGTGAACTCTAACCTGGTTTCTTTATTGTACATAGTATGTTATGTCAAACATTGTTTGTTTTTGTTGGGTCTGTGAATTTAGGGAAAAGCGTGATGTAAAACCTCAACTAATTTTATTAAGAATTTGATTGGTATAGTTTCCCCTCTTCCCCTCAAGTCGCGCTATCATGGCTAATTAAAAACTCTAAATAACCACTGAAACCGGGTGTGAGCTGCATAACTGGTTCCCCATAAGGACCAGAAACTTGCTTTAAATTTATTTAATCAATTTTAGTCCACTGCAGCCAATCCCATCTGGATGGTTTACAATTGCTTTTTTGTTCGTTTTTGGCAATATCGCGCCCGCAGTACTGCTCAGAAATTAAATTTGTCTCCAAAAATTTGTGTTTGAACAAAAGCAAACTGCGGACAAATAAATAAATGATGGCAATTCAATCTCTGAAATAGATTTTTTTTCCCCCCCTCCTTAAGGGTTTCTTAAAATCTAGCAAGGTAGAGTTAATTCATAAGAGCTGAGATTCAGAATTCCTGCGGTGGCCGCTTCTGTTGCATCAGAGTCTATTAACTGAGAATGCTGGCCTGTGACTTTTGGAGTGACAACGGTTGGCTAAAGGTGAGGAGTCCAGAGTTCATGGCACGCTTGCCAGCAGGAAGGGGGAAAAAAAGCTCACAACATCTTGGACGTTGCTGTGTAACACAATCAAGTTGTCCCTTGTGACATCCGTGATCTTAAATATCGCTTGCTGGGTTTGTGTCGGTGTTTTGCAAACTGGAGCCTGCAACAGCTACAAAAAAAAATAGAGCATTTTGTGTAAGACTTTCTTCACGGGAAGGTGGAGAGGTGGAAGGCTATGCACAGAAAACAAACTCTTAGGTGGCGGGGAAAAAAAATATTTGGTCTAGTGGTTAAGACTCCAGGCCTGAAAGTAGAAGACCGTGAGTTCTAGTCTCAGCTTAGCTATGAAAACCAGTTGGGTGATTTTAGGTCAATCACCAGGAGATGGTGAGTTCTAGTACAGTACCACCTTAGGCAGGAAAACTAGCTGGGTGACTTTGGCCCAATCACTAGGAGATGATGAGTTCTAGTCTTCCTTAGCCATGAAAGCCAGTTGGGTGACTTTGAGCCAATCACCAGGAAATGGTGAGTTCTAGTCTCCCCTTAGCCATGAAAACCAGTTAGGTGACTTTGGGCCAATCACCAGGAAATGGTGAGTTCTAGTCTCCCCTTAGCCATGAAAGCCAGTTGGGTGACTTTGGACCAATCACTAGGAGATGGTGAGTTCTAGTCTCCCCTTAGCCATGAAAGACAGCTGGATGACTTTGGGCCAATCACTAGGAGATGATGAGTTCTAGTCTCCCCTTAGCCATGAAAGCCAGTTGGGTGACTTTGGCCCAATCACTAGGAGATGGTGAGTTCTAGACTCCCCTTAGCCATGAAAGCCACTTGGGTGACTTTGGGCCAATCACTAGGAGATGATGAGTTCTAGTCTCCCCTTAGCCATGAAAGCCAGTTGGGTGACTTTGGCCCTATCACTAGGAGATGGTGAGTTCTAGACTCCCCTTAGCCATGAAAGCCACTTGGGTGACTTTGGGCCAATCACTAGGAGATGATGAGTTCTAGTCTCCCCTTAGCCATGAAAGCCAGTTGGGTGACTTTGGCCCTATCACTAGGAGATGGTGAGTTCTAGACTCCCCTTAGCCATGAAAGCCACTTGGGTGACTTTGGGCCAATCACTAGGAGATGATGAGTTCTAGTCTCCCTTAGCATGAAAGCCAGTTGGGTGACTTTGGACCAATCACCAGGAGATGGTGAGTTCTAGTCTCCCTTAGCATGAAAGCCAGTTGGGTGACTTTGGACCAATCACCAGGAGATGGTGAGTTCTAGTCTCCCCTTAGCCATGAAAGCTAGTTGGGTGACTTTGGACCAATCACCAGGAGATGGTGAGTTCTAGTTTCCCTTAGCCATGAAAACCAGCTGGGTGACTTTGGGCCAATCACCAGGAGATGGTGAGTTCTAGTCTCCCCTTAGCATGAAAGCCAGCTGACCTAGTCATTTTTAGCCCAACCCTCCTGGCATCCAAACTTTTGGGACAGTCTGAAATCCGGGAATGTTTCTGCCTTGGGCAGTGGTGTCAGCAAATTCTCCTTTGTCCCAATTTCTCAAGAGCCTCTGAGCGTCTGCAGACCTCATCCCGCCTGACGCAACAGCCAGGCGGGGTTGGCACATTGCCTAACCCTTGTGGTTACTGGCTCTCCCTCCCTTCCCTGTCCAAAGGGCGGCCTGAGGACCGGAGCTCCTATAAAACCCGGAGACACGTCAGCTGAGCAGGGAGAGAAATCGAGATTAGCCGATCAGCTGGAAAGGCGAGTCTGGAGTTTCTCTTACAAGGGGGAGGAGGGAAAAGTTTGAGGCCGGGTGTGGGGGAGGAAAGAGGGGTGTGCGGAGAAAGGAAGGGGCTCCTTCAGGCTGGTGGGCAGGTTAAAGTCATCTTGGATTGAAGACAAGGATTAGGGGAGACACCAGAGCTCTGTCTTCGGCGGTTCAAATCCCTAGTATGAGTCTCCTGCGTGAGCAGGGGGTTGGACTAGATGACCTCCAAGGTCCCTTCCGTTATTATTATTCTCGTATTTGAGGGGCTCTCACAGAGAAGAGTTGGGTGGGTCTCTTATTCTCCAAAGAGCCTGAGGGCAAAACAAGAAGCCATGGATGGAAGTTTCCTGCCTTCTCTGAGGAGAAATTTCCTGACCCTGAGTACAATTAACCAGTGGAACTGCTCGCCTCCAGATTTTTAAGAAGAGATTGGATAGCCACTTGTCTGGAATGGTATAGGGTTTCCTGCCTGAGCAGGGGGCTGGATTAGAAGACCTCTAGGGTCCCTTCCAACTCTATTATTCTGTTAAAGGTAAAGGTAAAGGTTCCCCTCGCACATATGTGTTAGTCGTTCCCGACTCTACATGGTGGTGCTCATCTCCGTTTCAAAGCCGAAGAGCCAGCAGCTCACCCCTGGGTGCAGGGAAGTATTTGAAAAACTCAAAAAGAAGAAAGAAAGGAAGAAAGGAAGAAAGGAAGAAAGGAAGAAAGGAAGAAAGGAAGAAAGGAAGAAAGAAAGAAAGAAAGAAAGAAAGAAAGAAAGAAAGAAAAAAGAAAGAAAGAAAGAAAGAAGAAATAAAGGATGGAAGGATAGAAGGATAGAAGGATGGAAGGAAGGAAGGAAGAAAGGAAGCACAAACAGAAGAAAAGAAAGAAAAATAAAAGCGTAAAATCAATCATATCCAGGACTTCTCTTTTATCTAGCTGCCCCATCCATCAAGATGTCACAATCTTAAAAAAAAAAGAAAGAAATTTAAGAAAATGGACACGCCTTAACCCCGTTTTCTCTTCCTTTAGAGCCTGGATCATATTCTCTTTGCAGCCTGATGGATTACGCAAAGAAATCTTTGGGTCTTCTCAGCCCCCGATCGCTTTCCAAGTAAGTATCGGTAGATAAGCAGCGATGGTTCCTTCAAAAATTTGTTTTGAAGGGGGCGTTTTTATCCTTCCCCTCCCTCAAATGACGTTTCCCCCTCTTCCAGATGTGTGTCGGCCAGTGCTTCCGTGACCCAGCAGCTGTTGGCTGGTCCTGCTCCCCGTCCGAGGCCGTATCGAGTGAACAACTGTGAGCGTACGCTGCGAAAAGGAATCATGGCTGAGAATCTGAACGACCTGCTTGAGAAAGTAAGTGGGGTGGGGAGGGGCGGACTGGCCAATTTTGGGCACAGTGGGCTTCCCACCGCAGTATAGAGTAGAATATAGAATTTTTTATTGGCCAAGTGTAATTGGACACACAAGGAATTTGTCTTTGGTGCATTCGCTCTCAGTGTACATAAAAATACATTCGTCAAGAATCGTAAGGTACAACACTCAATGATAGTCATAGGTTACAAATAAGCTATCAGGAAACAATATCAATATGAATCGTAAGGATACCAGCAACAAGGTTACAGTCATGCAGTCCTAAGTGGGAGGAGATGGGTGGTGGGAACGACGAGAAGATTAATATCTATTTATTTATTTATTAGTTCAATTTATATGCCGCCTTTCTCCGAAGACTCAGGGCGGCTTACAATGCATTTAAAAAACCATTATAAAAACATTTAAAAATTAAAACATGAACACTTTTTAAAATGTTTTTAATTGTCTGTTACTGTTTTTAATCATGGGGCCAAATTTATATATATCTTTTTAATTGTATTTTAATGTTTGTAGTTTATGTTTTTACTTGGCTGTTCACCGCCCTGAGTCCTCAGGGAGAAGGGCGGTATACAAATTTAAAAATAAATAAATAAATAAAACCCACTCACAGTAGTAGTGCAGTAGTAGTGCAGACTTAGTGAATAGTTTGACAGTGTTGAGGGAATTATTTGTTTAGCAGAGTGATGGCGTTTGGGAAAAAACTGTCCTTGTGTCTAGTTGTTCTGGTGTGCAGTGCTCTATAGCGTCGTTTTGAGGGTAGGAGTTGAAACAGTTGATGTCCAGGATGTGAGGGGTCTGTTACTAAATATTAAAAAGTTAAAAGTCTTTCCGAATGGATAGAAGAGAATATTCGTAGCTCAGGGTTGTGAATTGTGGAGTCCTTGGTTCTCTCTGGGCTTGCTGGTTTTTCTTGGAGACGTTTCATGACCTCACTAGGTAGTATCATCAGTGCTAGAAGGAAGTGGGGTTTGCGGAGTGGAGGGGGAGGACTCTGGGGTGCTTGGTTCTCTCTGAGCTTGCTGGTTTTTCTTGGAGACGTTTCATGACCCCACTAGGTAGCATCATCAGTGCTAGAAGGGAGTGGGGTTTGCAAAGTGGAGGGGGAGGATGAGAAGGAGAAGCACTGGGGGATCCTTGGTGGTTTTCTTGCAGATGTTTCATGACCCAACTAGGTAACAATATCTGTGCTAGGAGGTGGGAGGAGGAGGGAGGGACGGACTGTGGAATCCTTGGTGCTCTCTGAACTTGGTGGCTTTCTTGTAGACGTTTCATCACCCAACTAGGGAACATCATCAGTGTTAAATATTTCAGAATGCCGTCTCAGTGGTTTTTTTTAAAACGGAGACCAATGGGCACTGGGTGAAGTCCTAAGCAATCTTCTCATCACCTCATCCAAAGCAAAACTCTTAGTGTCAAAGCTTCCTTTCTAAGCCAGCTTGGTCAAGAGATGCTCCCTTGTTAACAAACCCTGATTCCTAGGTTGTCTGGAACGCCAAGGTATCCGATCTTTATTTATTACGCAGGTACGAACTGCTCTGGACTTAGTGGGACCCATCACCCTTGTCTTGGATGAAGACGGCACCAGCGTAGAATCGGAGGAATTTTTCCAAATCCTGGAGGAGGGAACGGTATTGCTGGCCTTGACTGAAGGACAGGTGTGGCGTCCAGCCAAGGTGAGCCAGATTTAAGACTTAAACCAGGAAGATTTGATCATCTTCATTTCAGGGACATGCTATCGTCTGGTTAGGTTAGAAGCACGGGCATCTGCATGGAAGGAAGTTCAAAGGAACTTTGATTAAGTTGGAAGCACTTGTCTGTTGGGTTTAACCATGGTTTCTTGAATAAACCACCATTGGTTTGGCTTCTTCCCAAGAATGGTCATTCACATCTAGGTTGGAAGCCCTCAGCTGTTGAGTTTAACCATGGCTTCTTGAATAAGCCACCATTGGTTCGGCTTCCTCCCAGGGGTAATCATCCACAGCTAAGTTGGAGTTTAACCATGGCTTCTTGAATAAGCCACCACTGGCTTGACTTCTTCCCAAGATTGGTCATCCACATCTAGGTTGGCAAGCCCTCCGCTGTTGGGTTTAACCATGGCTTCTTGAATAAGCCAGCATTGGTTCGGCTTCCTCCAGGGATAGTCATCCACAGCTAAGTTGGAAGCACTCATCTATTGGGTTTAACCATGGCTTCTTGAATAAGCCACCATTGGCAAGGTAGAGAAGGACAGCCCCGAGATGGAAGTGGCTCAACTGTCAGTTGGAATGGGTGTTTCCAAAAATCAGAAGGTTTATTTTTTTTAATTTAAGTTATTGATTTGGTTACCGTATATGACCGCCCAACTCATATGCGCGGCAAACGGTTCTGTCTGTTTTGCGCACATCGCAAATGAGTTTGAGTAATTAGGTTGTGTGAACGTAGCCAAGGATGCTATTGTTAGGTCGCTCAGCTCCTGGGATGCGAAGGGTGGGCCATCCAGAATTCTGAAAAACGGAAAACTCTTCTTCTCCCAATCGGTTTTATGGAAATGAAACCTTTGAAAGTTGATTTTAAATGCGGGAGCCTTTTATTATTCTGCTTGTAGAGCTCCCTGTGATCAGGGAGTTTAAATAAGTGTCATCACGATAAAGGCAATTCCCCGCAAACCGTATTAGAGAAAGGAAATGGAACACGTAGCGCTGAAATTGATAACTCTCAGGGTTAGGTTTGAAAGACTCTTCGGTGAAGAGAAAGGGGGCGAAAAACAGATTTTTCTCTCTTGGCTATAAATGTCACGAAGTCACGAATTGATTGCTCTTTAATCATGAGGACTAGAATCCTGAAGAGCGGAAACCGACAGCAACATACAACCTTGGCTGGCTGTGCAAAGCTTGGATGCAGCAGAGGCTCTGTGTTTGATAGTGATCGTTGCAGAAGACAGAATAACAAGAGTTTGGAAGGGACCTTGGAGGTCATCTAATCCAGCCCCCTTCTCAAGCAGGAGACCTTAAACCGGGAGTCAGCAACCTGTGGCTCTGGAGCCGCATGTGGCTCTTTCATCCCTCTGCTGCGGCTCCCTGTCACTCGAAATATGCGTCACAACCGCCAATGTGCGATACCCGCCGGCACGCGATTTATTGAGCTTTTCGACCACCGGTAGGCCAGCCATGGATAAATCCAATTCAGAATAAATAAATTTAATTCAACTCCATATGCTAGTTTTGTGGCCCACTCAAGAAATCGTCAGGCACGGGAAGGGTTTTGTGGCTCCCGGTGTTTTCTTTTCTGTGGGAAACGGGTCCAAATGGCTCTTTGAGTGTTTAAGGTTGCAGACCCCCACCATATACTATTTCAATCATGTGGCTGTCCAGTCTCTTCTTAAAAATCTCCAGTGATGGAGCACCCACAACTTCTGGTGGCCAGCTGTTCCACTGGTTGATTGTCCTCACTTTTAGGAAGTTTCTCCTTCATTCCTGGTTGCTTCTCTCCTTGATTAGTTTCCATCCATTGCTTCTTGTTCTATCCTCTGGTGCTTTGGAGAATAGTTTGACTTCCTCTTCTTTGGGACTGCCCCTCAAATATTAGAAGACCACTATCACATGTTCCCCCCTTCCCCGATCCTTCATTTTGTTCGACTCTCATTAAAGCGTCTTTTCCCCATTTTTTTTTTGTCCCCAGAAAGCCGGCTACCAGCTCTCGCTGTCCCACAAGCCTCGACGTCGGATTGACGTGGCCTGCATCACTTTCGACTTCTACAAGACCAACCCCCAGGATTTCCTTGGCTCTTTGAACATCAAAGCTACTCTCTACGGAACCTACAGCATGTCCTACGATATGCAATGCTATGGGGCGAAGAGGATGATGAAGTAAGTTTCTTCGTCTCCCTAGCTTGGCCCTTCCCATCATAAATTTGCCATTAAGAATCCTTTGGGGATTCGCCCACCATTGGCTCACGGGCATACCACATGTTTATGATTATTTATTGTTCTATTCTTTTAATGTGTACTAGTTTATAATGTTGGTCAGCCGCCTGGAGTCTCTGATGAGATGAGTGGCGCATTAAAGAACCAAACAAACAAACAAACAAACAATGTTATTTTTGTGTGGTCAGTCGAGACTTCGAACGGTCTCTGCCCACCTTCCAGCAGGTGGCACCAGGTTAGCAGTGCCCATCTCATTGCAAAAGCTTATTTTTCCCATGCGGCCCATCGTCACTCTGTGTGTTGTGACCTAGGCTTCCGGAGTCATTAGAACACACGAGTAGTCCCCAAAACCTCTTTTATTGCAACAGCTGTGAATTACGTTCATTCACAGCTGAGTCCCAATTAGTTGCAAAAAGTCCTTCGGGATAATCACCAACCTTTATCTCCCTTGACACGCTGCCTAAGACCTACTTGGCAAAGCCACACGGAGTCCAGAATCAAACAGAGATGCCGACTGGGAACAGAAGTAACAACGTTGCTTTCCTGCAAAGGGCCCACGTGCCTTTGCTCCTCTTTTAAGCCTTATGTGAGGGGCCAATCATCTCCAGGCCTTACTCCCAAGTCGTCCCTTTTGTTTTAACTGTTCTTGCCTTCTGGCAGAGAACCCCTTGCTAAAAAAATTTGAAGCCCACCTCTGGTTCAAAGAGAACCTTATTGTCAACTGTCTAGATTCATGATGGCGAACCTATGGCACAGGTGGCACACAGAGACATATTGGTGGGCACGCGAGTGTTGCCCTAGCTCAGCTCCAGCGCACATGCGCGCACCGGCCAACTGATTTTCAAGCCTTCCGGTCCCACCGGAAGTCAGGAAACTGGTTGTTTCCGGCATCCAGAAGGCCTCTGGGGGGATGGGGAAGGCTGTTTTTGCCCTCCCCAGGCTCCTAGAAAGCCTCTGGAACCTGGGCAGGGGGAAAAATGAGCCTACCGTACCCACCGTGCCATCACGTGCCAAAAGCAGGGAGAAGTGTGTGTGGGGGTCACGTGCGCATGCATGGGAGGGCAGGGCGCATTGAATTATGGATGTGGGCACCCGCACCCACGACCCTCCATGTTCCCCCCACTTCTGGCACGCGACGGCAAAAGGATTAGCCATCACTGGTCTCGATGGCCTTCTTTGCTCCCTGACCATCTCTCTCTTCCCCCAATTTCTCCCGTTTTCCTCAGGGAAGCTCTCCGCTGGACCCTTTTCACCATGCAAGCGACAGGTCACGTCCTGTTGGGCACTTCCTGTTACATGCAGCATTTGCTGGACGCTCCGGAAGAACCGAAGGAAGAAACGTTGCCATCGTCGTTGCCTCCTTCTATCGCTCTCCCTTCCTCTCTCACCCGGAGAATGTTGCAGTGAATTTGGGATGCGCGTGTCTCCAAGGGACAGAGATATTTTCTGCACCCCCACCCCTCCCGCTGCTACGGACTCCGAACGCCGGGAGGGTTGACCTCCTACACGTAAGGCACCCACATGAGATCCCGTAGAGAGGGACGGGCACCCATCTGCACTTGCTGGAGTTAAAAAACAAAACAAAAACACAGCCATCCTCAAGACATTTTGACGTTGTAATAGGATTCTAGGCACTTCACCATTCCTTCTAAGTTGTAACGTGCTTTCTTATTCTTCTTGTCCAGCTCTGCAGCCAGAATTGATGCCGCAATAGGCCAAGGTTTCACCTTTCCTTATTTATATATATATATATATATATGTATGTGTGTGTGTGTATGTATGTATTTTTCCAACACGCACAGGTAAACGCACAGCCAGCGTGACACCACGTTGACTTGTTATTATGACACTGTAAATATGTGAATTAAAAAAAAAAGACATGTTTTCTTAAACCGTGAGATGGGTTCTTTCCAGAGGATGGGCTTCAGATACTGTACGTCACAAAACACAGCAATTCTCGCACGCACGCCGTCCACCCACGCATGCAACATCAAACAACACAGCAAATTGCTTGCGTGCGGCACAGTGATGGGTTTCGAAAAAATTTTATTGCCGGTTCTGTGGGTGTGGCTTGGTGGGGGCGTCCATCCATCTATCTGTCCTAGGATTAGTTTAATGCAAAACTGCAGATAATATAGATCGGTGGGATTTGAAAGCTCAGCAGAGGCCAGGATTATCCTCTTTTGGAGAACTGTATCTGGCATTTTCTCGCTGGCTGGAGGGATGCGACATAAGCACTTTTACGGCAGGCTAAATTCTCTGCTGGATGTGTCTCTTTTTTTTTGCTTAATGAGTTAATAGTTCTCTGCCTTGCTTCATTTAAAGAAGATTAACATATTTTTCTTGTAGGCTAAGGTTCCTTGGTCCCCCTTATTATTTTATTTTATTTTATTTTATTTTATTTTATTTTATTATTTTATTTTATTATTTTATTATTTTATTTTATTTTATTTTATTATTTTATTTTATTTTATTTTTTGCAAAAGACGTTAAGCGTGTGGAATATCATTAACGAGAGAGATCCCAACCTAGGAGAAATTGCCTGACAGTGAGGACAAATGAACCTAATCCAACCAAACATGAGGACTATAAACTTGAAAAGGCAACTAGTGTTGCCTTCCTGTGCAACATCCCCACTAAAATTCGCTGCACGGCAAATCTGCAACCCTTTTTTTTTTTTTAAAAATGTTCTTTTGCAATAGAATCTACTTGTAGACCTCTGGCACTCTTGCAATATTAAAAACCCGGGGCCATTACGAGATAGTTGAAGGTTCTCCGGGGGCTACTTAAAGGAGTTTAAATGGCCCGAGCCATATGAAAACCAGGGAAGTTTAATAAGGCCGTTTTCATGGCCAAGTCCTGCAGCTTCAGGAATTCAGGAAGCATCTGAATTTGTGGTGTTTTTTTTAAAGGTGTGTGTCTGTTTAGAATGGAATGGAATGGTCTACCCACTTATTTTTGGAACGTTCCGGTCTACCCACTTATTTTTGGAATGTTCCGGTCTACCCACTTATTTTTGGAACGTTCCGGTCTACCCACTTATTTTTGGAACGTTCCGGTCTACCCACTTATTTTTGGAACGTTCCGGTCTACCCACTTATTTTTGGAACGTTCCGGTCTACCCACTTAGTTTTGGAATGTTCCGGTCTACCTATTTGTTTTTGGAGCGCACTGGTCTACCACTACACTGCCTTTTACCTACTGATCCGCCGTAGGGCGTCCCTTTGAAGCGCCACGGCAAGAGTTTAAACAGTTTTTTGCCGCTCTGCAACCACCGAGAGCATCGGAAACCGCTTTCAGGCAGCTTGGCCTCAATTGCCAATCTACCACCGCCGAGCGGTTTACAAGGAGCGGATCGGTTCTAGCCGATCAGTTGGGAGGCTTCTTGGCTTCTCAATTTAAAGCGACAGTGTCTTGTTTTTTTTCCCCCCTCTTCTTTGTCAAGTGAGCCCTGATTTTTTTCCTTCTAGCCGATCAGCTGGGACTCAGGAGGCAGCGAATAGATTGGGGACGGGGCCAGGCAGAGGTGGTGTTTATCGGTTCTCCGAACTACTCAAAATTTCCACTACCGGTTCGCAAGAACCGGGGAGAACCGGTAACAACCTATCACTGCTCCCAACTGTGTTATTCTGTATTCTGTACCTTTCCTGCCCTGAGTGCAGCAACTGAGTTTGGTAGCAAAAAATACGATGGCTATATAAATGAGGTAGAAAGCCCTGGAGATGGAATTAAAGGGAAGATTCAGAAGTCTTGGAAAGTCTGCTGCTTGAGCTGGAGGTGGGATGAGGGCTGGACTAGAAGATCTCCAAGGTTCCTTCCAACCCTGTATTCTGTAAGTGGTTTTCCTGCTGCTGAGTGTGTTATACAAGCCAAGCGTACCGGCAGAATGAAAAAGAAAGCAGAAAAAAGCCCAAATAATTGTTGGTTGATTTTTAAAGGCAGAAAAGATCGGAGGCTTTGGCTGAAATCTTAAACTAAATTTTGGGTTGCTTAAGAGAGTTAACAGGTTCACGCTATCATCCCTGATACATTGGTTTATTTAATCATCCATCATAAATAAACGATGGCTTGTGGGTGGACGTCGCCTCAGGGAATAACCGGAGTAGCTCAAATGCATTTGAACTAGAGAGATTGAGATCTATCTGGAAAGATTCCACTGCTTCTTTCTCCAAATACTGTGGAGTGTTAAATAAATATTGTGCTCTGCCATCCATCATTTCCGACTGAGCATTATCGACTCAGATATTCATCGATCGATATAAAATATGTATGCAGGATTGTTCGGTTCGAAATATATCTTCTTGGAGAGCTTGCAAAATAAATAAATAAATAGGAAAGCATGAAATAATAACAAGAACGCCATATCCAAGTTAACACTACAGACAAATGGAAATGCATTTGCTACGTCAAATACTTCCTGTTTTTTAATATAAATATTGGCGAAAGAGCAATCCCTCGAATGTGTTCAAACTTTAAAACATTGATTAAAAGGGATTTTTTTAAAATATGTATTTTACTGAGTAGAGAAATATGTTTCTCTTTTCTTACTTATATTATGTCTCTCTTACTATTTGGTGCAATGTTCTTTTTCTGTATGTTGTAGCATTGGCTTCACTTAACACAATTTCTTTCTAGATTTGCTTCTACAAAAGCATAGTTTTGAATTGCTCAGCAGTGACTGGACAATTGGACATACATAGTACAGAACTTTAAAACCGATTAAACAAGCGATGACTATAAAAGTCAATTCAAAAAGCGAATTAACGTTCGAATCCCATCCCAGAACCATGTGCCACTCAGTCAAGATCAAGTTATATAATCACCTGGCCATAGCAGAATCATGAAGTCCTGGTCCCAGATTTTGATAATAATTTTTAAAAAAACTCTTGTGGTTGTGTTGTTTGTTGAGACTTTCTGCACAGGACCTGGCATTGGTTCTTGTGGAAAACTGGCTGCCTGTTCTGCCCCAGCTACGGACCCCAAAGAACGCAGCACACACACAAAGTCTGTACAAACCTTAGTTTACTAAATTAAATCAGTCCTTTTTCAAACAAAGGCTGTTAATTAACTTTCTTAACAGCCTATAAGAATCCAAAGAATAAATAATCGTAATCTTACTATGGTTGGCAGAAAGCCCAGAAGCAATTTGCAGAGAACTAAGATCCGGACGCGAAGGAGAGTGAACGAAGTTGTTCCCTGCAAAGTGCTTCAGTCGGCGTTCCTCCTTAAATAGGCTAAGGGAGTGGCCAATTAGCCCCAAGTCTTAGTCTCGAGGAGACCTTCTCCTGAGGAGCCACTCCTGCCTTTTGGCAGCTCTGCACGCCCGTGCATCTGGAAGAGGCTTCTCCTCTTCTTCCTCTTCACTTATGGGAGCTTCTGGAGCTTCTGAAGGCTCTGGCTGAATCCCCGCCTCTGGCACCACATCTTCTCCAGCCTCCTCATTGTCCGACTCGAATGCCAGCTGCACAGGCTGCTGGCGCAGCACCACACCAGCCTCCTTGCTGTCGGAATCAGCTACAATCTGCACAGGCCGCTGATGGGCCACAACACTGCCCTTGGGATCTCTCTGCTGTTGTTATTAAGGAGGTCCCGACAGCCTGTAAGAGATTTGAGTCTTATCTTGTTTGGTCCGTCTGCTTGTTTTTTTGTTTTTTTTATGTTATGCTTTTAAATCTGTTTGCTTGAGCTAATCATAAAGCTGAAAATCCTTTTATTCCCCGGAGGGTTCATTGTCTCTGGATCCAAAGGAACCAATGGCTGAGATGCGCTGACTCTCACGGTAAAACATCCCTCGCAGGAATGGATGCGTAAAACAACTCCTTTCCCCCCCACATCAAACGGAATGACCGAGCAAGTATCTTTTTCTAACCTCCAAATATATCTCCGTAACCCGCTGACGGCAATGTCAGCCCAATGCCAGGGACGTCCCTGCAAAGAAGCGCTTTCATCCCTTAACCCCCCCCTCCCCCACAAAAAAATGCATAACCTGCAAAATAATAATTGGTTGTGGATTTTTAGCCTGGTTGTATGATCGGGTGCTAAACGAATGAGATGCGAATCGAAGGATCGTTGGCTGATTTCCCCCCCTATATATCATTCAAGGATAGTTAAAACCAGGAAGTAATGACACCCGGGAGGGTGGGTGGAGCTTTGCTCCGCCATCGCTACCAGATCGCCGAACCACCGACCAAAATCGCTACCGGATCAGGCGATCCGGTCTGATCTGGGAGCATTTCACCCCTGGTTTTCATGCTAGGCTCTATCCAGTGGTGGTATTCCGATTTGGACCGAACCGGCTGAATACCATAGCCTCAGCGCTATGCTGTCCTATTTGGCTACGTTTTCGGGCGCATGTGCAAAAGGCGCACGTGAACCGGCGGTAAAAATATGTGAAACCTACCTCTGGCTCGATCCATAAAGCTTCTCTTCAGCTCATTTTCCCTGACATGACTCATCAAGCTCCATCCGAAAGAAACATGATCGGAGAGGAGCACAGACGTCGTCCCTGCTCATCCATCTCAGCTAGGAGAAACAGACACATTTTAAAGGCAATTAATACCACTTCTGCAAAATTGTCAACTTTGACTATCCAGAAAAAATGAGGAAAGCCCGAGAAGTATTAGGATGCTTTGCCACCTCTGTCTTTCTGTCCCCCACCCTCTTTTTTTTAACAGCAGGAAGAAGCTGGTATGGAGAATACAGAAAAGGCAGAAAGGAAAGGAAAGGAGGCCAGGAGAAATTTGCCAGGGCTGTTTAACTCTGTACACAACTCTGTGCATGCCTTATTTAACCGTTGGTCGAATCTGGAGCTCCTTCTCCTGTCTGCCAAGGTCGTTCCGCAATTGATTATAAGATATCGCATATGAGCTGCAAGAATCTAAA